TACATATATACATATATATACATATATATACATATATACATATATATATATATACATATATATTAACTAACTTTACACTTACAGTAACCTTTTTCTACCCTTTAATTTTTATAACTCAGGAGGATACGATTGCTAGTTTTTGCGTTTTATTATCACAGTCTGATAAGTTTGCTCTGATTGTTTAGTCTCACCTTGTTTTTTATTTTTGTCTTTTATAGAAGCAGGAGGAGGAAAAGGCTCAAGTAAAACGGAAGAAAGAAGCCGTTGAGAAAGAAGAACGGGAGAAACGTGAAAAAGAGCGACGAGATAGACGAGATGGCAGTAATACTAAGGATGATCAAGACGGCGATCCTGGTAGTCCCACATCCCATAAGGGTCGCAGTAGTAGTACTGGGAGTAGTAGAAGAGACAAAAGACGATCCAAATCTAGGTATTAATGTTTACCATTTTCTAAGAACAATTAAAAGTTTTATTATAAATCATATTTAGTATATAATCATATAATATCGTGAATATTTTCTATTTCGATTCAGGTCTAAGGAACGAGATAGGGATCGTCAGAGAAGCGACAGAGATCGTGATAGAGATAGAGATCGAGAAAGAGATAGAGAAAGAGAACGAGAAAGAGATCGTGACCGTGAAAGAGAACGTGAACGTGAACGTGAAAGAGACAGAGAAAGGGAAAGAGACAGAGAACGAGAAAGAGAACGTGAAAGAGAAGAAGCGAGAAAAACTGAAAGAGAAATTATGCGTGAAAGAGAAGAGGAAGAAGAAGCGAAAGAGAGAAAAAAAAACGAAAGAAGAGCGAGAGAAAAAGAAGCAGCTTATCAAGAACGTTTGAGAGCATGGGAGACGAGGGAACGTCGTAAGCAAAAGGAATATGAGAAAGAAGCGGAAAAACGCAGGGTAAAACGAGAAGCGAGAGAAAGAGAAGCGAAACGCTTGAAAGAATTTCTCGAAGACTATGATGATGAAAGAGACGATGCCAAATATTACAAAGGCAAAGAACTTTCACGTCGTCTAGAAGAGAGAGCACTTGAAGCAGAAGCCGATTCACGGGATCGTTGTGCCGAGCGTCAAGAACTTCAACGTCTTCGCGATAAACTTTATGCTGATGCTTCTCATCCAGATCCAGCGGCTGAATTTGAAAGGGTAAAATATCCTTAAATAACATTATATTTTGATTTGCGAGTGATTGCAATATTGATTTTATTTTAGTTAAAAGCTGAACGGGAGGAACAGTATAAACCTAAACCCGTTATCACGATAATAGACGAAGAAGATGAAAAAGTAGTGAAAAAAGAAAAAGAAATTATGCCACCTATAGAAACTGAACCAATTGAAAGTGATAGTGATGAATGCGTGCAATTTGATGATGTTTCTCAATCAGAAGCACCATCTAGGACACCACCGAGACATCATCATCATCACCGAAGACATCATCGTCATCATCAGAATCATCATCGTGAAGGCGAAGAACCTGAGGAAGTTGTAGAAACTGATAGAGAAAGTGTAAAGGGTACGAGATCGTCACCTTCTCATCAAACAGTAACAACACCAGTTCAATCTGTTCCACCTACATTAGATGAAGATTCGCGAATGTCTCTTGTTAGCGAACCAGAAAAAACGGGTAGTAGTGAGTAAACGTGATTTCCTAATTTATACAATGAAAAATCCTCTATTTTTGTGTCATGTATGTCTCATTATAGGTAACTTTGTACCGTTCGCCATGGGAAGCGCAGGTAATCGTGGTAGTGATCATGGTATTGGTAATAAAACTCCTGCTAGTCCAAGCACAGCTATTAATGTTAGTTCACAACAAACGAATCAGAATAAAAGGAAAGGTCGAATCGATGTGAAAGACGTATTCAATAACGACGACGATGACGATAATGCTAATAACGCAAAGAAGCGCAAACTAGTTCCTTTAGGTAATTGTAAATACTAATGTACATTTTATTTAAATAATATACGATTTTTTTATGAATTCAATTTTAGATTACGGCGAAGAGAAAAAGAAAAAATCTACTGAAGAAGCTCCTAAACCTGGAAAAGAAGAAAGTACAAAAAGTCAAGAAGAGAAAAGAAAACACATAAAGTCTCTTATTGACAAAATACCTACAGATAAAAATGCTTTATTTGGATATCAACTTGATTGGGCAGTAATAGATAATGTAAGATTATGATAAATAATGTAAGATTATGATATGAATGAATATTTATGAATTAATTTTTCGTCTTTTTAATTTTTGTAGACGTTAATGGATAAAAGGATAAGGCCGTGGATTAATAAAAAAATTATTGAATACATTGGAGAGCCTGAACCTACATTAGTAGATTTTATTTGTAGTAAAGTAATGGCTAGCAGTTCGCCTCAAGGCATACTCGATGATGTACAGATGGTAAATAATTTTTATTTTATCATTAATATGAACTAATAACTGATAGATTTTATAACGTTATATATTATAGGTATTGGATGAAGAAGCTGAAGTTTTTGTAGTCAAAATGTGGAGGTTATTAATTTACGAAGTGGAAGCTAAAAAAATGGGCTTAGTTAAATAAATTAAAAATCAATTAAAGTACTAATCGACTTAAAAATTTATACTACACATCAAATTCCTTTGGTTAAATTGTATTATTAGGTTATATATCCCAATACATGATTACTTATGTATAATTTGTAGGATTGCTAGATATGATGTTGTTTAATTGATAGGTAAACTAAATGTGTAGCAATTGAAATGTTAAATACAAATTGTAATTACGATTTATAATATTTGAGTTGTATTTTTTCAAATTTGTTTATTCATAGTTTTACAAAGAGGTCTTTTAACATGTTTATAAATAATACATCTTTTTACATTTTTTAAGAAGCTTAATGAATTCAATTTTAATGATTACATAATTCTATAAATTATGTGTTTTCAAAATTTGTAAATAGATGCAGTAAAAATAATTAATTGTTACATATTACATATTACATATATACATTGTAAGATCTCTGTTTTCTATTATTGTTTCATGTCAAATTAATTTAGTATTAAGCTAGTTATTAAAAAGTGCATAGTGATGTCTTGTATTGATCAACAATTATGATATTAAAGAATACTTTTTATTGTAATGTAAATGGAGAAAAGTTATAAATTTTTACAGAAATTATTTACGCGAAGGTATGTATGAACTGAATTTTTTTAAAAGAGGTAAGTAGTAACAAATGTTAATGATAAAGTTTGAGCTTATATCAAACTATTATTGTATTAATTAAGTAATAAACATATCTTTGTTTTCTATTTCTTTCTCATTACATTATAGTTTCATACATTAAGTAAATTCACGTTAGGAAGATCTAATAATTTTTTTACTAATTTTAAATTGATGACTTGGCTCTTTTAAAAATACTAGTTTAAGTATGACTTTTGATCATGTTACATGGATCTGAAATTATATGTGTTAGACTCAGCCTATAAAATTTCATTAAAATCACTTTATCGAGAAATTAAAAGATTTAAGAAATCTTTTACTAAATGCACCGAACTCGATGAAAATCTGTAATTTCAATCTCTTAAAGATTTCGTATTTCCACTTGCCAAACATGGTATTTCAAGATTCGATTGTTAAATCGAGTCGAAGGAAGAAAGGAAAGTGATAACCGTACCCAGAAAGGAAACGACTGGCTACAATTATGAATTCTATTTTGCAGGTGCTAAAGGCGAGTACGTGTAATCTGTAGTAGAAAGTCGGCGAGACGGGTGTCCCGGCTGCGTAGCACCACTTCTCATATTATTTGTCGTTAAGTGCATGAAAGCTTTTTTCGAGGGCTTAATACAAGCTCTCGGTTAATAGCGGAGCATTATTGTGTTCACGGGGACACGAGTGCGGCGCAGCTTAGAGTTGCTCTCTCGCTCTCCTCTTTTCTCTTCTCCTCCCTTCTCGTCTCTTCAACGCTATACGAAAAACGTAGCAGCTCAACCTTTTATGGATCCTTTGTCGCGACGCGATTATGTACCAGCCAGCCTTCTCGTCGCCACCTCTTTTTCCTGCCTTTTTCTTATGTATTTATACACACGAGTTTTAGCGAAACACACGAGTTTTAGCGAAACACACGCGTTTCCTTTTAATGCGGCCTCAACGCAGTCTTACTGATGCAGGCCGACTGCGATCAATTTTTCCCTGCCGGCTCAGAGACAATGCTTTTGTGCGTGAAATGCATCCTAAATAAAATGAAGAAATTGTGAATCGACGATTGAATCGCATTACACTTGCTGGATAAATGATGTAAATCCATCATCGCGACTGAATTTACTTAAAATTTTATTTAAATCTTGGTCTATTGGAGCAGAAGATTGCCGTTGTGAAATTTATGTTATTACTTTGCTATTTTAATGCTATTAATTTTAATATTCTTACGTACTATTTTAATTATTCAACTTGATTTAATCTTTTCAACTACATTGTTAGAAACTCTGTATGTTTTACCTATTGTTCATATATTTTGAGAAGATTTGTATTAATAATTTGTTGCTTTATGTTTTCTAATATCTTGGTA